GTTGTGGGCCCATCCCCAGTAGGGGATGTGTGAAAGAGACAGCTGATCAATGTTTCTCTCTCATCTATGTTTTTAACTCTCTATTCATCTCTCTTCCGCTCTGTAAAAAAAATCAATAAAATATATTTGAAAAAACAACAAGTAATAACTCCTGTTTGAGAAGTTGTAGAGAAAAAGAAACCCGCTTTCATCAAAATTGGGAATACAAACTGGTACAGCCACTATGAAAAGCAGTATAGCAGTTTATCAAAAAATTAAGAGTAAAGTTACCATATGACCAAGCAAACCATCATCTGAGTATCTACCAGAAAAATTTCAAAACATTTCTTGGCAAAGATATATGTATGTCATATGTTTATTGCAGTCTTATGCATGGTGACCAAGACATGGAAACAACCAAAGTGTCCCTCCATAGATGATTGGATAAAGATGATGTAGTACACATAGACAGTAGAATACTACTGAGCTATAAGGAAAGATAAAATACTGTCATCTGTGACAAAATGAATGGATATCATGATAAGCAAAATGAGAATATCATGCTAAGTAAATTAGTTATGGTAAACAGAAAAAGGCAAAATAAATAAAATTTCACTCATATGTGGGATATAAAACTGAAAGCAACAAATAAACAAACAAGACAAACAAACAAAAATTCATAGACACAGATATAGTATGGTGGTTATCAGACAGAATGGGAGGTAAGTGAGTAGTAAAGAATAAATGAAGTTAAATATATGGTGACTTTGGGTGGTAGGCACACAATGTAATATGCAGATGATGTATCATAAAACTGTACATTTGAAACCTATATAATATTATTAACAAATGTCACCTCAATAAATTTTAAAAAATTAATTTTTTACTAGATCAGGTCTGTTGAAACCAAGATGGCAGCATAAGTAAACACCTATACTGCAGCACAATTTCAAAACTACAACTAAAAGACAAAACGGACATCATCCAGAACCACAGGAAGGCTGGCTGAGTGAAAATTCTACAACTAGAAGGAAAGAGAAAAGCACACTGAGACTCAGAGAAGCTGCAGGAGGCAGAAATACTGAGATGCACACATGCATGCACGGAGAGGACTAGTGGCTGAGAACGCAGCTGGCTTTCTCAAGCAGGAGGAAGACAAAAGCTCCCAACTGCACTGAACTCCAGTTCTGGGCAAGACTTCAGGGACTCAGACTCACTCAAGGAGAAGCTGGACTGTCAGGAAAGAGAAAAGCACGCTGAGATTCAGAGGAACTGCTATGGGCAGAGGTACCGAGGAGTACACATAGACAGGGTGGGAAGCTAAGTACACTGCTGGCTTTCTCAAACACAAGGGAGAAAAAAGTTCCCGAATGCAATGAACTCTTGAGAATATGAAAAAAGAACCAACTAGAAATTAAGCATACAGTGACTGAAATAAAAAATATTATACAGAGATGTAATAGCAGACTAGAGGATTGCAAGAATCAAGTCAATCACTTGAAATACAAAGAAGCAAAAACCACCCAACAGGAAAAGAAAAAAGAAAAAAGAATCCAAAAACATGAACATAGTCTCAGGAGCCTCTGGAACAACCTCAAGCATACCAACATCAGAATTATGGGGGTTCCAGAAGAAGAGAGAGAGGAAGATACTGAAAACCTATTTGAAGAAATAATGACTGAAAACCTTCCCGATCTGGTGAAAGAAATAGACTTACAAATCCAGGAAGCACAGAGAACCACAAAAAAAAAAAAAAAAAAAAAAAAGGAATCCAAAGAGGACCACACCAAGACACATCATAATGAAAATGCCAAGAGCAAAAGACAAAAAGAGAATAGTAAAGCAGCAAGAGAAAAAGTTTTATTACCTACAAAGGAGCACCCATACGACTATCAGCTGATTTCTCAAGAGAAACTATGCAGGCCAGACGGGAGTGGGAAGAAATATACAAAGTGATGAATAGCAAGAACCTACAACCAAGAGTACTCTACCCAGCCAAGCTGACGTTCAGAAATGAAGGTCAGATAAAGAGCTTCACAGATAAGAAAAAGCTAAAGGAGTTCATCAACATCAAACCAGTATTATATGAAATGCTGAAAGGTATTCTCAAAGAAGAGGAAGAAGAAAAAGGTAAAGATAAAAATTATGAACAACAAATACATATCTATCAACAAGTGAATCTAAAAATCAAGTGAATTAAAAATCTGATGTACTCTTCCTTTCTTTCTTTCTTTCTTTCTTTCTTTCTTTCTTTCTTTCTTTCTTTCTTTCTTTCTTTCTTTGTTAATCCTCACCCAAGAATATTTTTCCATTGAAATTTTTAGAGAATAGAAAGAGAGGGGGAGAAACAGAGAGAAATATCGATGTGAAAAAGACACATCGATTGGTTGCCTCCCGCATGTGTCCTGACTGGGGGCTGGGCATAGAGCCTGCAACTGAGGTATATTCTGGATGATGAATACACAAGCTCAGTAGGCTCCAAATTTCCAGTTTGGTAGTCTCCACCAGAAGTACTTATATACAGCAAGTTCAGCAGTAAATCTGACATTTGGGCTTTTAGGGTTTTGATGTGGGAAATTTACTCTCTGGGGAAGATACCATATGAGAGATTTACTAACAGTGAAACTGCTAAACATATTAACCAAGGCCTACGTTTCTACAGGCCTCATCTAGCTTCAGAAAGGGTATATACCGTCATGTACAGTTGTTGGCATGAGAAAGCAGATGAATGTCCCACTTTCAAAGTTCTTCTGAGCCACATTCTAGATGTCATGGATGAAGAATCCTGAACTCACCAATAAGCATCTCCTCCACAAACTCCAATTTCACTTTCTTGAGGCAAACCAAGGCTACAGGCCCTGGAGCCTTGTGCTCTGGCTGAATACACAAAGGCCCCTCCTCTACATCTAGGGCTGCCTCTCTTCTTTGATTCCCTGAGACAGTACCTTCTGAGCAAAGGCCAAGGAATTATGGTGCCTGGTACTGTCCCCCAGAGAAGAAATTTCCCAAGAGTATTAAGACAGAGTGAATTTGGGATGGAAACAATTTTGGAGAGAGAAGGGTGTAAATAGCCTCATGAGGGTTCCAACAGCTCTTTTAGGTATGCATAAGAGCTTACTGGAAGGGAGGCTAAATTTGATAAGAATAAAACAGTGTCATAAAAATGGGAAGGGAGGGTGTTTTCATATAATAAAATTACTAGAAAGCAAAAAAAAAATCTGATGTACAGAATAAACTGGTGAATATAATAGAATCAGGGGAATAGAAAGGGAGTGGACTGACAACTCTCAGGGAAAAAGGGGTGTGGAGGTTCAGAAAGAGACTGGACAAAAATCATACACCTATGGATGAGGACAGTGTGGGGATGTAAGGGAAGAGGGTGGAATGGGTACCAGGTAGAGGGAAGCTTTGGGAGGAGGGGAAGGAACAACTGTAATAATCTGAACAATAAAGATTTATTAAATTTTTAAAAAGAAATTTTAAAAGATTTATTAAATTTAAAAAAAAAAAAAAAAAGGTCAGGTCTGGCCACTGTTGCCCAATGGTTGAGCATCGACCCAGGAACCAAAAGGTCACTAGTTTGATTCCCAGTAAGGGCCCATACCTGTACCTCATGGATCCCAAAAGGGGGTGTTTAGCAAGCAGCTGACTGATCTTCCTCACTCATCGATGTTTCTTTCTCTGTTTCTCTCTCTCTCTTTCTCTCTCGCTTCCTCTCTCCCTAAAAAAATCAGTAATATGTTTTATTAATATATTTTATTGATTTTTTACAGAGAGAAAGGGAGAAGGAGAGAGAGTTAGAAACATCGATGAGAGAAAAACATCAATCAGCTGCCTCCTGCACACCCCCTATGGGGAATGTATCTACAACCAAGGTACATGCCCTTGACTGGAATTAAACCTGGGACCTGGGACCTGTCAGTCTGCAGGCCAACGCACTATCCACTGAGCCAAACTGGTTAGGGCTCAGTAACATTTTTTTTTAAAGATTAGATGTTCACCCTGGCCAGTGTGACTCAGTGGTTGGAGCATCAACCCATGCAACAAAGGGTTGTGAGTTCAATTCATGGGTCAAGGGCATGTACCTGGCTTGCAGGTTCAAACCCCAGGGCACATGTGGGAGGCAATCAGTCGATGTGTCTCTCTCATTTTGATAATTCTCTTTTTGTCCCCCTGTCCCTCCTCCCCACCCCCCTTCTCTCTCTTCCCCTCTCTGTAAAAAGAATCAATGGAAAAAATATCCACGAGTGAGGCTTAACAAAAAAATTTGAAGATGTTCTCCATAAGAAAAAACAAAGAGAAAAGGGGTTAGAGAGGAGATGTTAAAGTGCTTTTTAATTTTAAAAAAAACACATGCACTGCCCTGGACAGTTGTTCAGTGGTTAGAGCATCAGCCCACGAACTAAAGGGTCTCAGGTTCGTTTCCAGATCAAAAGTACAAACCTGGGTTACAGGCTCGATCCCTGGCCCCTGAGTCAGGGGCATGTGGGTGACAACCAGTCCATATATGATGTTTCTCTCTCTGTCCCCCTTAACTCTCTAAAAATCAATTGGAAAAATATCCTTGGGTGAGGATTACCCAAAAAGAAAAGCATATGCACTGACTACTCAGGTGAATACACACAAACAAAAAGGTATATGTACAAAATATACTCAGTAGTAGTATTAATTTACTTTAAATGTAACTTAGTTTTAAAATTTTAACTCATAATACATAAATAACTGATAGATTATATATTTCTGTACTATTTCTACATCTTCTAATGTTACCTATTTTTCACAGTCAACATCATCAACAACTCTATAAGACATTTCCATTACACATAAAACCAGAAATACATCATTCTCTAAGCACCTAGAACTATAAAACCTTATATCTTCACTTATCTAAGTTAACATCTCCAATATATTAGCTAAATACTGGATACACAGAGGCTATTAAGTCCTTTAATAGCTACTCCACCATAAAACAATAAATGAAATGTAGTCTAAAAGATATTGCACATTCTTTTTCAATTTACCTGTGCTTTGGCTCATCATAAGTCTTGGAGGAGAACTTGTTTCTTCAGATTCTTCTGATGACTGTGCCAGAAAATCATGAAGTTTCTGAACCAATGTATTCAACTTGCTTTCACTATCAAAACAAAATTTAAGGAATTTCCTTAGTTAGCCTATCATGAATTTAATTAAATGTAAAGTTCTCTATATGGTAAGTGGTCTCAAGAATGCATATTCAAACTAAAACGTAAAGAAAATAAATGTTTGTCCTATAGGAATATAAAAATAAATAACACAACCTACTGTACAGTTACCTAGGATCAAAATATTATTTATGTAAAATGCTGATGTTATGATATTTTGCTTTATATGATTTAAAATAATGATTCGGTAACTTATCAAATATAATTCCTGAGCACTTATTCTCTGAAAAGCTTCATTAGTCTTTTTTTGTTCTTTAATTATTACTCTGTCTGCTGCTTGGCACAGAAACATTGAATAAACGATTGACAAAAAACACAGAACAGGACTCAGAAAAGCTCAGAGATCCCCAGGGAAATATTTATGTAACTAAATTATCTAGTTATATAAAAACCTAATATGCAAATAGACCAAAAGGCAGAACAACTGAACAACTGGACACTATGATGTGCTATGACCACCAAGGGGTGTGCGTGGAACATGGCAGGCGTCAGCATGGAATATGGCAGGCGTCAGCCACGGTGGGATGGTGGAGCAGATGAGCAGGGCACCAGACCAAGGTGGGGTGCCTGTCACTGTCATTGGGGCAACCCTCTGGTAGTTACTGAAAATTCTTTGCTCCTGTACAACACAGTCCCGCCCTGTGCTCGCAACTGCTGCAGATACCATCTCCACTCGCACCTGCTGCCGGTGCCCAGTGCCGGTCCCAATCGCTTGGCACAAACAGCAGGTTTGAGTGGTGGCTGCCGGCCCCAATTGCCCCTAAGGGCTTCTCCACTCCCCCCTGATCCTGAGGGGCAATTGGGGTAGCAGCCGCTGGTCGCACCTGATGTCAGTACCGGTCCCGCTCACACCACTACTGGCACTGGCTCCAATGCTCCAAGCCATCAGCATGTGGAAACAACAGTGGCGGCAAGAACAGGACTGCCAGAATTCAGGGAACCAGGGGCCCTGGCGGAAGGGGCAAGGCAGGGGTGCAGAGAATGCTGGAGACCCACCCCTGTGCCCACCACAGGCTCTCAGCCCTTTCAAGGTGCGCGGATTCATGCACTGGGCCCCTAGTTATAGTATATCCTTTAAGTTATATAACAGGTAACTCAAAGTGGACATAAAAAGTTAAACGTTTCAAATGCAGAAAATAAACATATACCCTACATATATATATATATATATATATATATATGGCTAATATGCAAAGTCCCCCCTCGGGAGTTCGACCGGAAGATCAGGCGTTCGATCACTTGCTATGATGTGCACTGACCACCAGGGGGTGTCACAGAACAAAGGAAGGCCCGGGCTGGAAGCCAGAAGGCCTGGATCAGCGCTGGCCAGGCCTAGGGACCCTACCCGTGCACGGATTTCATGCACCGGGCCTCTAATTTCTAATAAAAGATTTCCTAAATTTAAAAGCAAGAAGGAAAATAGATAAAATTTACTTCATCCAAATTCAAAACTTGTGTGCATCAAAAGTTACAATCAAGAAAGTGAAAAGGGAGAATCCAAGATGGTGGCATAGGTAACACCTAACTGCAGCCTCACACAACAATTTCAATAAAATACAATTAAAATATAAAATGGACATTACCCAGAACTACAGGAAAGTCGACTGACTGGAAATTCTACAACGAGAAGGGAAGAGAAAACCAGAAGGAAAATCAGAGGAGCTGAAAAAGCCTAAGATACAGAGACACGCTGTGCGCACGAAGAGGACGGAGCCGGAGAGGAGAGGTGGCTGAGTGCCTGGCTGGTGTGCCCTACCAGGAAGGAGATAAAAACTCCAGACTGTGCTGAACTCCAGATCCGACAGCACTGAAACCCAGTTCTAGGCCAGACCCTGGGGACCCAGGCTCATACAGAGGGAGCCTGGGCTGTTAGGCGAAATCTTAGGAGAGCAGCAAAAGGCAGTGACCCGGGAGGCGCGCACATTACGCGCAGAGGACGGACCGTTGACTCTGCTGCTAGATTGCCCTAGTGGGAAGGGGACAAAAGCTCCAGACTGTGCTGAGCCCCAGTTCTGACTACACTGAACCCCAATTCTAGGCCAGACCCTGGAGACCCAGGCTCATACAGAGGGACCCAAAGTAGCAGCGAAAGGAAGTTCAGGAGGCGCGCACATTGTGCGCAGAGAACAGGCAGTTGACTGTGCCGCTTTATTGCCCTGGCAGGAGGGAGACAGGGGCTCCAGACTGCTCTGAACTCCACTTCCAACTCCACTGCCAACTGAACTGAACCCCAGTTCCGGGCTCATTGAAGGAGAGCCTAGACTGTTTGGTAGCAGGCAAAAATCGAGGGCACCTTTCTCTCAGAGGTGCTTGCAACGAGTACTGAAGGACCCTGAGGAATACTGAGACTCAGGAGCCTCATAGGGCATGGCTGACGGAAGCCAAGGCTGTAGAATCCACCCTGAAACTCCACCCCATCCAAGCTGAACACAGAGACTTTTAAGACTACCAACTCAGGGAAGCTGCGAAAATGCAGAGACAAGGAAACAGATCACAAACGAAAGAAATGGAGGACAAAAAGAGACTGGATATAGAGTTCAAAACCACGCTTATAAGGGTTTTCATAAATTTCCTAGAAAAGGTCGATAAGACCAATGAGGATATGAAAAGGGATCAACTAGAAATAATAAGGGATCAACAAGAAATAATAAGGGATCAACAAGAAATAAAAAATACATTCTCTGAAATAAAAAATATTATACAGAGTTCTAAAAACAGAATGGAAGATCGCAAGAATCAAGTCAAAGATTTGGAACATAAAGAGCCAAAAGATATTCCTCTGCAGAAGCAAGAAGACAAGAGAATCCAGAAAGTTGAAGATAATGTAAGAAACCTCTGGGTCAACTTCAAGCAAACCAACATCAGAATTATGGGCGACCCAGATGATGAGAGAGAGCAAGATATTGAAAACATACTGAAAGAAATAGTGACAGAAAACTTCCCCCACCTGGTGAAAGAATTAGACTTACAAGTCCAGGAAGCACACAGAACCCCAAACAAAAGGAATCCAAAGAGGACTACACCAAGACACATCATAATTAAAATTCCAAGAGCAAAAAACAAAGAGAGAATATTAAATGCAGCAAGAGAGAAACAGGTAGTTACCTATAAAGGAGCACCCATATGATTGTCAGCTGATTTCTCAACAGAAACCATGCAGGTCAGACGGGAATGGCAAGAAATATTCAAGGTGATGAATAACCAGAACCTACAGCCAAAAATAATCTACCCAGGCCGAGACCGGTTTGGCTCAATGGATAGAGCGTTGGCTTGGGGACTGAAGTATCCTGGGTTTGATTCCGGTCAAGGGCATGTACCTTAGTTGCAGACATATCCCCAGTAGGGGGTGTGCAAGAGGCAGCTGATCGATGACTCTCTCATCGATGTTTCTAACTCTCTAGCTCTCTCCCTTCCTCTCTGTACAAAATCAATAAAATATATTTTAAGAAAATAAATAAATAAATCAATAAATAGGAAAAAAATAATCTACCCAGCAAAGCTATCACTCAGAATTGAAGGCCAGATAAAGAGCTTCACTAATAATAATTAAAAAAAAAAAAAAAAAAAGCTAAAGCAGTTCATCACCGCCAAACCAGAATTATATGAATTGCTAAAAGGGGTTCTTTTGGGAGAGAAAGAAAATAAAAGATAAAAATGATGAACAACAAATACATAACTATCAACAAGTGAATCTAAAAACCAAGGGAAGTAAAAAACATGATGAACAATATTAACTGTTGAATATAATAGAATCAAAGGTATGGAAGGGGAGTGGACTGATGATTCTCAGGGAAAAGAGGAGTGGGGGGTGCGGGAAGAGACTGAACATAAACTGTGCACCTATGGATGAGGACAATGGGGGGTGGGGAAAGGGCAGAGGGTGGGGTAGGAATCTGGTAGAGGGGGGAAAAAATGAAGTTTTGTAATAATATGAACAATAAAGGTTTATTAAAAAAATGAAATAAAATAATTACATATTAAAAAAAAAAAGAAAGTGAAAGGCAACCCATGGAACTAAAGAAAACTTTTCAAAAAATCTGAAAAGGTATTAATACCCCTTTTTAATAAGATATATCCTTTTAAAATTATAATAATACAAAGTATTCTTATAATTAAATAATAAAAAGAGAAACCAATTTAAAAATAGGCAAAGGGCTTAGGTTAATTTGCCCCAAAGATATACAACTGGATAGCAAGCACATAAATGCTCAAGCTTATTAGTTACTAGAGGCCCAATGCACAAAATGTGTGCAAGAGTAGGCCTTCCTTCCCCCAGCTGACGTTGCCAGCTTCCCTCTGGCACCCGGGACCCGAGGTTCCAATGCAGCCCTATCTTCATCCGGAACATGGTCCAGAAGGACATCTGGTCTAATTAGCATATTATACTTTTATTACTATAGATTATGAAAATGCATATGAAAACCAAGAGATACTATTTAATGCTCATGTAAAGTGGTATAATAACTGTGAAAAACATTTTAGTAGGAACTCAAAAAATTAAACATCGAGTTACCAAATAACCAGGAATTTCATTCCTAGACATATACCCAAGAAAATGAAAATAAATGCCCACCAAAAAAAAAAAATTGTACACAGCAGCAGTAGTCATAATAACCAAGAAGTAGAAAGTACCCAAATGTTCATAACTGATGAAGAAACAATAGAATATTATACCCCAATAAAAAATACTCCACATGGCTTACTCTTGGAAACATTATGCTAAATAAGGCAGACACAAAATGCCCTATATTGGATGTTTCCATTTACTAGGTGTACTGGTTAATAATGCAGATTTTTTTTCAATAGATGGAGTTACATACATGTTGATATATATGCGATTTGATATGTATGCTATTTTGTTGTATGGACAACAATCTTCAAAACTTCATGTCAAATTTGCTGAAGGTATTAACATCATAGATATTTGTGAATG